GTGAACTAAAATCATTCATAATTTTATTCATATTTTACTTCCATCACATATTTCGGTTCCAGCTACTGGTGACTACAGGTTTCACTACTTTTGCCTCCTCAAAAAATTACAGAGAAAGGCGGAGTCATCAAAAAATACTAGCCTAGTGAACAATAGAATCGAGTATGCCTAATCATGCATTACAGTAAAGCTCGATATTCCCATTGAAACGCGTCACGTTTGTTCATTTATATAAAAAAACTTAAGATACTGTTCTACTGTAGCTCAGGTTTTAACTGAATTTCTGTCTGACCAGACTATATATTAACTGCAACCTGCACTTAGTAAGAAGGAAATTATGTCTTCAACTATTTTTCTTACCGGTTAGCACATTTAGACATCAAATATGTTCACATAATTCACGCGTAAATGATGAGAGGAATATCGCCAAATAAATTCTCATATCCATCATTCTGTTTGTTGAAGCTTGATAAGTGATGACAGTAACTCAAAAAAGTATGCCATTTTTGAATCCATGAGCAACAAAGTTGGAATGCTTAGTTCAGAATATACTGAAATCTTGCTTACAAATTTGTAACACAGGTTAGGTGAGATGCACATGAAATGGAAGTGTATAGAGTTTCCGTAACAAACACATTTGCCTAATAATTAACTAAATGACACCAGATGCACAAACATCTACTTACGTAGCATTCATGGATACATTTATTAAATATGTTGGTGCAAACAATAAAGCACTGTTCAGTCACGTAAACCTCTTTTAAGATTCGTTACGTAGACTTGCGGTGAACTAGTAGCATTATACTGCCTAGAAATCACCTCTTTATCTTTGAGGAACAATCGGACAACTTGAATTTTTGATAACTATCCACTATTTTGTTCAGATCACCTCTGAAAAAGTTGGTAAAAATAATAGTTTCCAATAAAATTTACTGCTTAATCACTGGTTTTATTTTTAACGTTAGAAATACTTTTTACTTTTATTCCAATTTTTATGCAAACTGCGTTACTAGTCAAAATACTAATTTAATAATAATAACTTTAAGTGACCTTGATGACTGTCACTTTCTAATTTTATAAATATCATTTACTTTTAGTCTGTAGTTGGTTGCATCAGCCGTTGTAAATTTCATTAGTACGTGTCGTTTTGTTTATTATTTATCAGTTGTGGTGTTTAAGACAGAATCACTTGGCACTCTGAAGATCACACTATGTTACCATAATTTAATTTCATACAGTGTACTTGGATGCTAAACTTTAAAGTGTGCATTTTAGCCTTGGACTTTGAGAGTTATTATAAGGGACATCTTTGGAGGTGGTTATCATACTTGAAAATTATATTTTTCCCGCTGTAATATTTTAGGTACTTTTCATGAAACGAAGAATGCACAGACACTGGTAATGTTGAGCAACTTCTTGAAAAGCTTAAATCTATGTGCTTTGTGTATTAGCAAGATTAGATAATTATTCTCCATTTCGGAAAAAGTTGAAATTTCCCAACCTACACAAATAAGCGTTTTATAAACGAACGCCTTTAAACAAGCAGCATGAACGAGAAACTCACCGCTAAGTTGTTTGGACAGAAAAGATACAGAAAGCTGTTTTGGAGGAGAAAATGTCTACAGTATCAGCACAAGCAGGAATTTAGTAGCTGAAAAAGTAAAATGCGGAAGTCCAGAATCCCGTGACTCAGAGGTCCATCGGAAACAGTACTGCATGGTAAATGTATAAAGTGGGAATGCTGAAGGACTAAAATAAGTTACATTCTATGCACCTTTCACCACTGTGGTGAACTGAATAATTTAATACTGCTAACAGTCATAAGACTACCGACGCCGAATTTGCACACTCTCTTATATAAGCGTTCATTCATAAAAGTATCTTAAAACTAGGTGGGAACCTGCCAATAGCTGGCAGTTACGTTTTGGTGTCGTAAGTGGGGTCCGGTTCACTTACCGTCAGATCAACCCATACCGAATGACAACCATCCTCTCTGATGTATCTTGCTCACCAGCTTCACGCAGAATACCTAACCTCCTCCTAACTCAGGTACACTGAAGCACTGAGAATGTGCTTCTTCATTAAAGGGTTAAAGCCATGATTTCTGTATTTAAAAGTGTATTCATCATCCTGTTTATATTTAAAGATGACGTTATTTTCTAGCTAAGTATTAGTAACCTTTCGCTACTGTTTATTATAAGTATAGTAAAGTACGTTTTCTGTCCCCCCCCCCCCCCCAGGGTTATCGGCTCAAGATTCTAGTGATAACTCAGTGGATTACTACTGTCAAACTTGAGAACGCTTATCCGCTGGTCCCTATAGAGCAGTACGCCAAAAGTCCTCTTGTATTCATCATGATTACCAAGTAAAATTGAGATTTTAGAAGGGAGAAATCAACTAAACATTGGATTCAAACAAAGTTCTAAATGATGTATTATACCTGCAGTTCCCAATACCGAAGTAATGATGCCAAGATGCATAGATCCTCCGAAACTGTTTGCTACAAGGCTTTTCTTAAGTTGACTTCTAAAAGAATAATGCGAAGAAAGATCCTCTACAAAGAGTGTTGTCCTTGTAAAGTAATGGCTGCCACTCAGCTTCCTAAGGCTTTGAGATGCTTCAATTAAACAATATAAACTGCAAAATACGATTAATCTATGGAGACTCATTCAGAAGTGATATGAAAACTTGTGACCGTAATTCATTTCCAAGGTTTTTGAAGTCATCCATACATCTTTTGCTAAGGTTCATCAACTGGCTGTTTCATTTACTTAATTTTTAACCTTTAATTTCTACAAAGAAAGAAGGATCAGATTTGTATAACAAAATGACATCATTAAATTTCATACTTTCTCATCAGTTGCAAACCACTAGAAGTTACAATGGTTACTGAGGAAAATAGAATGAAGCACAACTAAAAGCAGTGCAAAATAATGACGAAGTAAGTACCTCATAGTTTGTAGATGAAATCCTCGCTTAGTTATAAATAAAGAAACAGAAGATTCAAGATTTGTGAAGACAGAACAGGGGGGACTGAGTATATGTTAGAAAAGAAACAAATAATACTAGCTAACAAAGAATTGGAAAAAACATGTGAAAGAATTGAAACCCACAAGATTAGTACCAACTCAGTGAGGTGAAATCTATAAATAAGGTGAGTAAAATGAAGAGTCATGCATTTAAAATAGAATAAGATAAAAATACAGTTGCATTGTAAGTAAGACGCTGATCTTCCTCTTTCTCTGTGCACGCAGGTGAAGCTGAAGATGTTTTACCGCAACCTATGACAACCAGCTGTCGATACGTTTTCGTCTAGCCTGCAGGTAGGCAGGTAGGTACTTTGTTGCAGGGGGCTCGTAGAACAGTGTGAGTTAAGTGGTGATCACGAGAATCTAGAAGGAAAAAGGGGAAGAGAAAAAGGTGAACTGAAGACTCAGTAAGTACACAGGATATACTTAATTTTAATAATAAAAGACAACTAACGAACGGTAGAACTTGACAAGGAAGAGGGGAGGTAGTCAAGAAACTGGAACTGGGAAGTGAATGAGTGAGATTTCGAGTGCGTTACAAGTCGCTTTTATGAAGTGAATTAGTCCTAACATTTACCACTAATTCCGTGTTTCATAAGCATCAAGGCATCAAGTTAACTTCCAATATTTACGAGGTGTCTGATAATCATATTACTCAAAAAACTGATTTTGGACAAAAGTTTAAGAATAGTTTTCTTTCTTAATTATCAACTCAGTATTTTTCAAAACTTATTTTCAGTCTATATCAAAACAGAAATAACAGACAGAGCCAAATGAGGTAATTCCTCAAGTCTGAAGATATATTTTACAGATGCTTGCTGCTGCTACCCAAACAATAACGAGTCATTCAGGCGAAAAACGTATTTTTCAATGGAAGTCACTCAATTTGGTCTATTTTGTTGACAAGGAGATAATGACAAATCCCAACGGCAAATGATGACTGTCTCACAAGAGATGGTCATTTTATCTTAGTGGGGTAGAATACCACACATTAGTGTCCAGAGTTATTTTTAAAACGCTAGATATAACCGAGAATATCACTTACTATGAGGGCGCTCCCAACTCAAGTGGAATGCATCACCTGGCCCTAGTTAGTGTCTCAACCAGTCACAATGAAATTTAAAATAACCGCCTAAATAATCTATTTTTGAGATGAATGGGGATTTTTAATTTAAAGGTAGTATTCATCACAGACTGACATTAGTTGGAGAACCCCTGAAATCTGGGAGCACCGAACATCTGTTCCGTCCTAGTATGGGACTCCTCGGCAATACCTACCCACGACCTGACTAGGGATCGAATCTAGGACCCCTAGGTTTCATGGTGAACGCGTTAACCATTTAGTCACTGAGTTGGTTTTCAGCGGTTTACAGTTTCCAGCTTCCTTCAATTCACGATATAGCGTGACTATCACCTGAGGTCTTCATTTGACATCAGCTTCTGATCTGAGTGTTTGACCCCACTGGTCACAGCTTCTCATTAGAACTTCATGATGTCCCTCTGGAAGCATGTCACTGATGAGCAGTATACAGTAATGCATTTTTGAGATACCTAAGTAATCGTTTATCTGTCATTCATTATTATGTTTTTGTTACATATATTGAACATTCAGTAATCACTTTTCGAAAGTTACCTAATACACTTCTTATACATTAAACATCTGTTGGTCTTTATAATTACTGTGCTATGCGAATGATAGCAATTGGCTTTTCATTAATTTTGTTCATCACTATTTTGATAATTATCTACATTTATGGTAAAATTAATTGAGTTCAGTTTAAACGACGTAAAATGATTTAAACTGGTTTATTTGTGTGCATCAATATACCCCTGGAGAATAATCAGTATCACATAGCCTAGTCTTAATTGGTGACTGAAAAATTACATCATCTCAGTTCCGAATGTAGGCCATAAGCTTTATGATTTTACCTTATGCTACCTCGTGTTTGTGTTACATGGTTGGAATACCATTTAACTACTATTACCACTAAGGACTGCGTAGTAATATAGAAATGAAAAGTTTTTGGCGAAAACAAGATTTGAATTGGAGTTTTTTACATTGCAGGTACAGTGTTCCAACACCCAATTCGATAGAATAAACTGCGCAAAATAGCTTATATTCTTTTCATCAAAAAATGTCTGAAAATATAAATAATAAATTAGACCTCTTTTCTCATTAGTCTTTTTAGTAAGCTAATGTTTTTAGTAGCTCTGCTGGTTGCCTCCTATACCGGTCACCCTAAATTTGTTGGAGGGGACAGTTTTCAGTAATATTATTCAATACCTACTAACAGTAGAATAGCCCACCAACCAGCAATACGCCTTTCAGTCGAATGAAAGTAGTTATTTCTTCAATTTATTTGTCTTCTTGATGAATTTCGAAAGCATAGGAACACTGATCTTGACCATATTCTCTGGATGGAGAAGTTTTCCTTTCTGTACTAAGGAATAAATACCACATTACACCAGTCACTTTCTATCATGTGACATTTGAACAGAAATCTACATACTTTTCTATAATTCCAAAGGAAATACATAAACAAAAAATATTTCTTTCAGCAGATTCTTGTCAGGTTCAACACGTATAAACTGAAATCGTTCTGCATAAAACAGGTGAAGTTCGTGTCAAATACATTTTCAATATGGCATGTTAGCCAAGAATTGTAACGAGACAAACTTATTACTTTTTTATATATGTAAATATCAAGATCTTTTATATGTCAGCCGAAAACCACACTGTTAAGTCACAGATTAAGTGTTCAAGAATACGACTGCTGATATTCCTTCGCCCTTCACTAGTTAATGAAGCTGGAAAACGTTCCATAATACCTTTTCAGTCAAAGTAGGTGGCCTCAAAGTATTGTCTCTCTCACTAAGAGAAAAATGTTATACTTCCAAGGATTTAAACGATATACTCTAAACATACGTTGAACAATGGGTTAAAATCTGAAGATAAACTCCCACTAGAAAAGGAACATTCACCTAGATTCATTGACTTTGACTTGAAAGATAAACCACAAATACATACTTTACTTACAAAGTCTGCGAAAACCTCTCACATGAACCTGGAATTCAAAGACAACTTTGCGGCTGGAAATCCTTAAAAGCGACAATCAGGATCTTTGAGAAACATATTGCATGCAGCTAGCGATAAGTCCATTAGTGCGTTAGGCATGAATACCGCTTTCAGTTACCTATGTGTCCCCCTAGCAGGTTGCCTGTTCATGTGGAGTGACGAAAATCGTGCGTATACAGTGTAAAGACAGTAAATGTATTTGAAATGTTGCTCTGCTCAGTCGTCGAGAGGAGAGAAAAAGAGTATCAACAGTTGCTTTCTTGAACACTCCATCAACTCCGGAAACCTAATTCATGTTAGTAGTTAATTCAAAGTAATTCAAAGGGTGCCTTCCTACGACTTGAAGTAAATCTGATTACATCATCTATGTATGGCCGAATCTTAGTCACTTTGTAACCATAAACTTGATCTTTGTTTTCAAAGACATTACATCCATTCATTAGTCTTATCATGATCGGAGTAGTAACTTCATTATGTTTCGTGAAATAACTTTTCTTTATCGCTTAGCATTATATTAATCATTTGACCCTATTAACTGCCAATAAACTGTTATTTATTTCTAATGACTTTAAATACGATTGCCCGGCTTTAGTAAATGAAATAGTTGAAAAAATTGTTTATTTGCTGTTAAGTCTTTGTCTGATTACCTAATATGGGAATTTTCCATTCGGTAAATAACGTTAAATGTAAGAAACAAAAGTTTAGTCGGGTAGCATTATGGGTGCATCACTCCACCCCTTAGGATTGGTGACATTTGCTGCCGTAAGTTAAATAGTCCTGGTGAACTCGAAGCGTTTATCATTATAAAAACTTGAGAAACGCTAAATCGATATCTGTAATCTATGAGATATCTAGTAAGTGTGTTGGTGATGGTTTTTGCCTTCCGAATATAATTTCTCCTGAAAGTGCTCGAAACAAAATCGACTACAACTCTTAATCGTTTTCTCTTTTAGGTTTCACTATCAAGACAAGCCTTTGTCATTTCG